CTGGACATAAACTTGTGGCTGCTTTTTTAAAGCTTAATCTTAAAAGTTGAATAAATTCTCTACTTTATAGTCTATTACAACAGACCTTTGCGAAACTCTTTCGATCCAGAACCAAATTCAGGCCTATTTTAACAAGGCCTAATTTGTACCTATGTGAAATTTGAAATCAGCAAGATAGACGCGCGCTTGATGTTAACTTCCTCGTCAAAAGTATACATTTTTTAATGATTTGATCGTTCGGTACAAATTATGGTTTGAAATCTTTAACCATAACTTTAAACAAAAATTAAGATTTTAATTATTTTATACCTTAACATCAATGTCTAAAAATCCTCCATCTGCAACTTCGAACATTAAGGCCATTTTTGTTCCAGGTGAAACGCGGTCATGGAAACACTCTTCACCATGTGCATCGATATTGACAAAATATGAAAAGGCTTGTGGAATAAACGCACATCCTATCAGCAACAATCCTGTTAATGCCATGATGTTTTATCTAAGATACTTGACTGTATGAAAATCTGAGTGTGATAAAGTGGCCTATTATTCTCGTCTTTATTGACACGTTTGTAAGAAGTCTCGATTTGAGAACTGAAAACGAGACTGAGGGAGGAACACTATACCAGTTGTTTGAAACCCTTTTTTGATAATGTTTTTAATTGAATATGCTGTAATTCTGCGATCATAACTCTTGCATAATATTTAACTATGCATTAAGACTTTTATCAGAATTTATTTTTGCAAGATTCATATTGATGAAATGTTTACTGGTTGGTCATTAACGTGTTCGATGCCGTATAGCTACCACTCAGCTATAGGCAAGAAAGGGGCTATAGAAAACATTCTGAAAATTTGTTTCAATAAAAATTTCGAAAGTTTACTCTAACGGAACCGAAGTAGTAGCAAAATGATGCAAAATGGAATACGGATGCAAATAGGAATCTGAGGTTTTCATATTAAGGGGAGTGGAAATGTTGTTCAACAAAAATTCATGAAAATTAGAATCGAAGTTGCAAGATAAAGGATCAAAGGCCATGCTGAATGAGGTAAAATTCTGGCATATTAGATGAAAGTGTGGGCAAAAACACACAGGGCTGTAATGGGATAAAGTACACCAAAACCGGTCAAAAATGTGGCTAGATCCACGCCTGTACGAATTACCAAAGGAAGAAAAAAAAGAAAGAACATTACATTCTCTCTCAAATTAGATGTCAGGCGCAAAATGTTAGCGAATAGCAGTAGACAAGATGTTTGCTGCAGTTTAAGTAATTTTGAATTACCACAGATTTCACCTCATATATTATTTGAGACAGGCTTTACATATTATAGATAACTAAATATTTGTTGGCTTACGAGGGGGGGGGGGCGGGATACTTAATTAAAAGCGACCAGTACAATGTATAAAACGTATTGATAACTCAAGGATGCTTCTATTGAGGTGGTTTGGAAAATTCTTATCGCCGTTCAATAAGATTTGCAACACAACATCATTTGCAAGATTTGCATATGCATATGATCGTACAAGAGTATATATTCCAGCGAGGAGATCAAGTCCTTTGAACACCAAAAGAGGGGCAGAGCAACAAGAAGTGCTCCGTATCCTCGACCCCATCGTTACTTGGACACTTTGGATTTATTGTATCTCTAAAGTTGTGTTGAAATTTGTGAAAGTTTAACTTGCTCAGACCAACCCTGAGTTGAGTAAGAAGAGACAGGCCCTTCGGGTCATGAATTCCAAAAACTGATTTAGTAGGGGGGCGGATCTTAGATAGTATCTTTGTCTTGAAAACAGCAACAGAAGGTGACAATCTCATTTCAGGATCTAGTTTGTTCCACTCGGACAAGCAGTGTGGATAAAAACTAGATTTATATTTTCAGTCCTTGCTCGAATTTGCCCGATTGTGTCACGTTCGCGAAGAGAATATTGCAACTGTTGAAGTGGTGGCAATGGGTCCCTTGTGTAGTCAGGGGTTAAATTGTTTATGACTTAATAAAGCAACTTGAGACGTCTACTCCATCTGCGGAGGTTTGGAAATTCCCACCCAATGTCAAGGTACAGCTTTTCTCAGGACGTTCCCTTCCAGGCTCCCGTTACAGCTAAGGCAGCGGGGTATTGGACAGACTCTAGCTTCTCCATTAAACTTGATAAGGTGGTACCGCCGGTAAATCCCACATACTTTTGGTGGGATATGGTATAAAAGATCGCCGTAATCCAAGTGGGGTCGAACATAGAGCTTGTATAGTTCATTTAGGGTATGCCTAGGCAGATAGCTGGAGAGGAATCTCAACATACCAATACCTTTCCTTGTCTTTGAGATAGCAGCCTTTATATGGGTAGAGAAGACAACGTTGCGTCCAAGGTAATTCCAAGATGTTTATGTTCATCAACTTTCATGATGGGCATGTTATTAAATAGTATTACTGGGTGATCAATTGCGGACTTTTTCTTCGAAAAGATTAATTCAACTGCTTGCTTCTTTGGGTCAGGATTGAAGGACATCCTCCAATCATGAGCCCACTTCCTCACCAGCTCTAGTTCGTGGTTCATGTCACTGGCAGCTGTGTTTGAGTCTTGAACTATAGTGAATAGGGACGTATCATCTGCAAAAAGCTTAACTTTGCACTTTAAGTTCCCATTCAGGTCATTTATATATACAAGGAAGAACAGGGGTCCCAGTATAGATCCTTGGGGTACACCCCAAGTTGGGGTAAGATATCCCCCAGTTAGAAACCTGCCCGTTCAGAACTGTTCTCTGCTTTCGATTTTTGAGAAAATTTTGAATAAGAGATAGGAGCTGACCAGAGATTTGCCTCTTTCATTCTGTCACTGGGTTTCGATAATCGATAATATCTGAAACAGACAAATTCTGCGACGTTTTTGCTGAGTGCCTCATTTAAAAGTAAGCCCCTAAATTTTTCCCATTCTTTATGGCCCATTAAGAGCTTATTGTGATCTCTCTGTTTATTGTAATTTGTCTAAACCTAAAAAGGACAAAGAATACACTATTCAACTTGAACATGAAGATAATTCACAGTACAGTATGAAACCAGTCAATGCCACTTTTTAAACGTTTTCTTACTCATGGCCATAGCTAGAGGGTGTAGGGGGTGTGACAACTTCTCTGAATACGTCATGAGTTGGTCGGTAAATCTTCAGTTGATCCACGAAATTATTACTTTTTGGTAAAATCGTCTATCAGTCAAATAGCACCTAAATTTTTCTTCCTAGTGTCTTCGTCGGTCAATTTTACTTCTGATGTCTCTAGAGGCTTCAAGAGTCTGTCTTGTCAATATGTATAGGACCATCACACTCGACCTCAATCGTTTATTGCTCACTAAATGTTCGAAGAACCCAAATGTATACTCTACCCCTCCTAGTTTGTTTTTCAAGACTAAATCCTTTCGTTTATATTGAGTGATTGAATCCTCTGTTTATAATAGATTTAAGAGACTGGTGCATTTCTTGATAATAAGACATAGGTTCTAAAAAGAAAGGTAAGTTTTACATTGCTCCCAAACAAATGACATATGCAGGGCAGGAGCGGATCCAGACTATAGCAACTGTAGCTCGAGCCAGTGGCGAAGCCAAAGGTCCTGCTGGTCCTGCTGAGCAGGACCAAGAATTTCCAAAGATAAGATTTACTGTAAACAATAAACAATTTCTTCTTTGCAAAAAGGAAGTTTCAAATTCTTTTTGATAAACAGTCCCCAGTTCCGCCAGCTGATACAGGCATCCCGTGCTAATCTCAAGGTCCTGTTCTCTTCTACGGCAGCCCTGTATTTTGGTCCTGCTCATAACTATGATACCCTATGTTTGGTCCTGCTTCACAATGGGCTTTTGTGAATTTAGTCCTGCTTCACAATAGTCTAGAACAAAGAGCAGTCCTGCTCAATCTCGGGAGCAGGACCTCGTCGAAATTACCATCATAACATTTCGTAAGCAGTTGTGATTTGATTGGTCGAGGGTTCACCTACGTAGGTCAAAGAGCATTGTTTTGAAAACCTTTGGTCCTGCTATTTCTGAGAGCAGGACTGCAAGAATTGCCCTGTGCATTCTCGTTCTGCTATGAGACTCTAGCAAGGAGGCCAGTTCAAGTATTATGGCGAGGCGATGTGATTGCGGATTTTCTGCTTGCTTTGGCAATACCAATGATATTATTATTGACAGCAAAACTTGCCTCAGTTGAGCTGCATAAATTTTATTTGTAACAAGACAGAGTCCAAAGTTCGCAAGAAAGAAATGTAAACAACAAGAATTGGCTGTATGAGGCACTCTGATTTCGGCCTTTGTACGATCGTTTGAGGCACGGTATATCATGGTGGCCTAAATAAAATTTTCTTAGACTTGGACAAGGACGATGAAAGCATAATTGAATTTACTGTTGTGTGATTGAAAGTTTTGAGTTGGAGAATAAACCAATTTCAGCGGAATTTGCATTTTTCTACCTGAATTGTTTTCTCGTCTAATGGTTTATCTAATAAAATTATTTTCATTGATAATGCGACACATTATTCGATTGTGCCTCTCTTTATCAGCTGCAGAATAATTGTTCTGCAGAATATGTGAACTTGCCCCTACAGACTTTAAACTCTGTTTTTTATTAAAATTATTTTAATAGAGTATCTAGATTGGTCAGGTTTATAAGACCAAAAACTGGAATACCACAAATATATGATATGCAACTTCAAATGCCACCCCTACCCCCCTTTTATTGTCAAATTTAGTTATCACCAATTTGAACTTTTACTTCAGCTGTAGAGGCTTACTACAATTTAACATAGATTTGTTTGAAAAGTAAGCACCCTAAAGCACGTCTTTAAGTATGGGTTTATTTTTCAAAAGATAGACATCGATTTAAAATTTGCTTTTTACTGAATTTAAGAAAAAATTCATCTTCAAAATAGAATTTTTGTCCATGGGCTTTTCCTATTGAATAAGGGCGTGGCCCTGTCCATATAGCAGGACCAACAATTTTTGGCTAGCTTCGCCACTGGCTCGAGCTATAGTCAAAATCTCAGTGTTTGATTTTCGGAATTCACATTTAAAAGCAGCGGTATAGGTTATCAAATGCGATTAACAAACATGCACTGCTGACAATGTGTCATCACAATGCCTCTCCAGATAAGATATAAAACACTGAGCGCAGAATGGTCTAATATTGAAACTTAGACGAATCAGAAGTTTCGTTCTTTGTTGACAGTAACCAACCAGAATTGAGCTACAGTGGATATTCCGAGCTATAGTCGGTCTGGGGATTTGCTCTGGAAAAGGCATCGAAGACAATGAAACCCGTACTATAATTTTTGGCGCGAGCTATAGTCAAGCTATAGTCAGGTTTGAAAATGGCCTTTTAACCAATAGAATATGAGTATCCACGGTACATCTCCGCTCTCTGTCCCCTGTAAAGCAACAGTGGACTATAGCTCGTCTTCACATCCTGGGTCCCCTGTAATGTAGCTTCAAAGGCAAGGACCTACTAGGGAATAGACAGGGACGGCGGAACGACCAAGCGGCAAGAGGGGGGAAGGGGGGGGGCAGGCTTGAGTAAAAAGGCTTTTGAAAGATAATTCTCAGCTTCTACAAATTCATATGTAACTGCAATTTTATTATCTGTAGGTATCTTCAACATTGGCTAACTTTCGGCACAAGGAATTATTTTACATGTTTTGAGAAGTTCAGAATTTCATACGAATCTCTCTGATTATTACAATTGGCCAGTTTCAAGGGAACTTTATTAAAAACAACCCTTGCCCCTTCTGCCAAAGGGCAACAGGGGCGGTTGTACCCCCACACCCTCTTCTCTGGCGTCCCTGGAAATAGAAAAAGGATGTTCGAAGGGATATTTATGAATACGAAGCAACTATAAACACACATGGTTTATCATTTGCCCATATAGTGGGCGTGTCTCGCAAGCAAGGAGGGCGTGGTTCCGATCCCAAAAGATTTGAGCTATAGTCACCAAAAATCCTGGATCCGCCCCTGGCATGTGCTTCTTTCACCTCAAAGGGGCCCCGAAATGTGAAGGCCATTGGCAGTCAAGCTCATACGATGTTAGCGACAAGGCCCATTTTGATAGTAACACGGAATGAGGAAGAAATTCTATCTGTAGCAGTAGAAACGAAAAAACAAAAATTACAAGCCGTTAGAATATCGTTGAGTTTTCAACAGAATCAAAGGAATAAGCACCAAATTTGAAAGATATTGTAGCACTAAGGTTGTTCTCTCCAAGTACTTCGCCCTAATAGAGATCCACCCCCGGTCAAAAATCAAGGGATCTGCTGGAAAACCGCAAAGTTCGAATTTTGGCGAATATTTTGACGTCGAGTTTTGCGCAACTTGAGATGATTATTTAGTGATTAGAATGAATCTTTTTCAGGATGCAGTTGGCCAAACAATCAAATTGAATGTTTGGACGACACAGGTAATATCATTTTGTCTTACTGAATGCTAGGCAATAAATGCAATTATATCAATCCACAAGTTCACATTATAATGCAAGTCTGTGAAATGTATGAAAAATGAGTTGTAGATCGATTTTGAGGCTCCAGAAATAAAACAAAAATAAGATAATAATCTGAAATCTTTGCAAAGCGCGCGGCCGCTAAGACGTGGCGGTAAACAGTTGAACCTTGATGATGAAGAAAGAGGCAAAGATCTTTTCCACGATCTTTGATAGAATAAGGCTATCAATTTTTAGTTGATAGAATAAGGCAATAAACGAATATAAGAGTGCGGACGCTACTCTCATCTGTCGCGTTGATCTTGGGCAACTTAAGGCCCGTGGGCCACATCCGGATCTTCGGGCGCTTCTGCCCAGCCCCCGCGAGTGTACGGCCAATCATAACATGAATGAAAATATTATAAAATTTATGTTGTGATATTCAAGATATACAATTTTTCTACTTTTATTATAAAAATCATGTCATTTTTTGACAAATTTTTTGTAGAAGTATTTTTCTACTTGATCGACAGCATACTTTCATATATGTATTTAGATATTGACGCGATATCTAAATATTTCAGGTAGTCAGTAACAGTTGTAAAAAAATCACGAGGATTATGAAAAAACCAGAAGTTTTGATGTGTTTTATAATCCATGAAAATCTATCCTCTCGTGAATAAAATATTCATTGTAATCCAATTGATAATCTAGGGATAGCTTGCTAGAAAAAAAGATTACTCGCCATATTCTTACAAGGTCAACTGACATCAAATATAAAACAAAAAACAAAATATGATTTTGACAGGAATGGACAAATCCTCTGTTGGGATGGCAGCGAGAAGAGTATGGAAACATTAGCATTGTTAATGTCGAACCAACTATGGTATGGACCCCAGTCTTGATGCTCTACAACAAGTGAGTATAGGCACATAAAAGCTTGACTGGAATCATTGCACCTTACAACAATGGAATCAATCCACTACATAGCAATGAAAATAAAGACATAATGTACAAGTCAAATTATCTAAAGAGTCAATACTCAAATTGGGGGATATTTTTCTGAAAATTTTTCTCTGAAACAAACAAAGTCTTGGCTCTGAAAGAACTTTCAGCCTAATCGTGACAACTTTCAACCCATTGGCTTCAAATGTCTTTAGTTTTAAGATCGATAAGCATAGCCTTTCATTGTCCTAAGGATGTCAGCTAAAAACTATCTATTTTTGGATGCTAGCTAAAAACAAATAATGTGGCAAAGAAAATAGATATTATTGAAATATTTTATGTTTTCAAATATTAACATACTAAGAAATAGCATTTTCTCAAGTTAAGTAATATCAACTTCGATTTTATGGCACTGTGCTATTTTCGCTATATGAATGCATGCCTTTCTAGCGCTGACAACAAGATGACCAGCCTGAAAGCCTCAAACACCAAGGTGATAGTCAACAGCTCAGGATACAGCACATGGTTTGCAGCTACATCCATGAAGGCTTCGTGCAAAATCAACGTGAAATACTTCCCTTTTGATCAACAATTATGTCATTTGAAATTCGGGTAAGAAGTTTTAATGTGGCACAAACAGCAGAAACATAACACGTGTGTCTGAAGTACAGTAAATTCTGATATCTCAAGCCCCTGATATCTCGAACTGTGGCTAGCTCGAACCATTGGTCATTTTTTTTAACTTCTCTAATATGCAAACAATCTTTTGGTGGTACAAAACTTGTAAATAGCTTTGAAAAAAGCAAACATTTAGTAAACTAAAGCTTTTCGTCTGACACTCTTCAGAGTTTAAAACGTCAGAACATAGATCGAAAACTCTACGCTAAGAAATATATATACCCAGTTGTGGATCGAAATAGGCCATCCAGAAACACGAGCACATGACTGTAAAGGTTGACCAATCAGTGCCGCTTGCCTATTAGAATGTTACCAATGGAGTCCTAAGGTGAAAACGAACTCCTTTTGTCTACACAGTAGCGGTTTTTTCGTGCTTATGTAGATAGATTCTAAAACTGCTAGGTGGAACGACGATCGGGCTTTACCAATAATCCGAAACATGTCGCCATTATAGTTTTTTGCACAATCTGGGTTTTCTAGCAAATGCTGCCCGATAGCAGAATCGCAGGTTTTATTAGTAATTTTGGATTTGCAAGACCGAGGTGGCTGTTCTCTTTGGGGATGTGTTTTGTTTCTAATATAAGATGGAACGTGTTGTTTTATCCTATCCTCCAATCTTTGGGTGGTGCGTCCTACGTAGCCAGAATCACACTGGCACGTGAATTCATACACAACAGAACTTTTTTTTGTGGCAGGAACGCAGTCCTTTTGAATGGACGGAAGGGCCTTTTTTGTACTGTAAACAACACGTGGGTTAACCGCGAAGAAACAATTTGTTATGGCCTGTTTTATTTGGCTTTCAAAACGTAGGGAGCTGTTACCGATCCAGGGTAGTTTTAGATAGACCGGGCACTTTTGAGGACCAAATTTTACGTCAGCCGAGAAATTTCCTATCTTCTCCTTAATGTAAACTGAAATAACATGTTCTGGATAGCCGTTCTCCAGAAAAATCTTAGTGAGTTTTTCAAGTTCCGAATCGAGTTTAGACTTGGAACAAATCATCAGTGCCCTATGTGTGAGCGTTTTGATGAGGCTGATTTTTCTTTGTTTTGGGCAAAACGAACTCCATCGAGTGTATAACCCCGAAAATGTGGGTTTACGGTATACACTGGTGAGAAATCCAGTGTCAGATTTTTCAACCAAAACATCAAGAAATGGCAAGGAGTTATTTTCTTCCTTTTCAAATGTCTTCATTCTCTTTATCTTAATAATAGGTTTTTGCCACACCACCCCCCCCCAATTATTTCCACAATGTGCTTAAATCCATCAACAAATCACCCTTATCTTTATTTTTAACATATTTAGACCCCAAAAACACTTTTTAGCCCCCTCAATCTGTAATATGCTCCCCAGCTCTTGGTTGTAGACATTCTAAGGGTTTTTTCTAGATTTTCTAATTAACTAGTCATGAAAAGTAAATCTTTGTTGCCAGACAGAAAGTAAATCATAAAATTAGGAGCATAATGGCATGTGAATGTGGCTAAAGCCAACTGCTCTGTCTTAAGTACCAACCAGGTCAACATCCTATTGTTTGTTGTGATAGGAATATATTATGAAGAATTAATTTTTCAAACCAAGGAGGAGTCATTAAACCTGAAGGAAGATTTCTTATTGATACTAACAGAAACATTTCGCAATAAGATTGAAAATAATGGAGAAAAAAATTATATCGAGTCATTATTACTTCTTGTACAAGAATTTAGCTCTTCTATTCTTAAGGCTTGCAAAAGCATTTATCACATTGGAATTAAAGTCCACAAAGTTCCTTATGAGACTTTTTTCTATTGACAGCATTGCCAAAGCATTAAGTCTCTCCTTTGACATTGTGTTTCTTAAAAATGTCTTGACACGTTCGAGTGTTGAAAAACACCTTTCTGCTTGAGAAGAAGACATTGGTATTGTCATTAGAAGCTTCAAAAGCCCTACAGTTTCAGAGAAGGTATCTTCAAGGTTATTTTCGACCAGAAGTTGAAGTAATGCAACAGCTCCAAAGCAATTTCGAAACACTTGTCGGCTATATAACACTGAAAGCTCAGATTTCAGTTTTACTCCATCTAGGAAAGGAAATGACTCAATGGCATTTTTCAAAACATCTGATGGGAAGCATCGCTCATACCTTGAAAAGGAGTCACTTTCAAATAATGTAGCAGTAATAAGGTGATCAGTGAAGTCAAATCTCTGGCAGCAATTTGTAATTATTATGTCATACACTTCACTGAAAACTCTTGAATGTTCTGCATCAGATGTCTCATAACATGGCCATTTGGCAGAAGGAGCAGCATAATGTATATGTGAAAAAAGACTAGTTATCTTTCCCCTAACATTGTTGATGGCATGGATAAAATACTGTATGCTCTTCTTGATAGATACTGGACATATCTGACGCTTTTGTAATTGAGCATACAGTATATCAACATGTGGCATTAGATGATGAAAGAATTCCAAATAAAGCAGGAAGTCCTTGTCTTTGAGCCACCGTACAAGTCCACTTGCTTCTCGAACTGATACCTGGTCCTTTTTCCAAGTCAACATGGTTTTTTCTAAGCATTGAATTAAATCTTCTTTGTATTCAAACACTGTGGAGACAATTCTATATCTGAAGTTCCATCTTGTCTGCACAGAACATGGAATTTTTCTAGCAACACACTCATCAAGGCAGGCAGTGCGCTTAGGAGATCTTGAGAAAAAGGCTGAAAATCCATTCAGGTTGGCAAAGAATACCCTAGATATCTGGGATGCAGCCTGCTGAAGAACAAGATTGAGTTGGTGAGCATAGCAGTGTACATAATGAGCATTTGGATAAGACTCCTTTACAATGCTCTGGACACCTCTATGGCTACCACTCATAACTGCTGCACCATCATAGCTTTGTGCAATAAGCTTGTGCTTATCTTCTACACTTGGCAAAACATGGTCTAAGCAATTAAGCACATTTGCTGATATGGTCTCAGCATCACTTTGAGGTAAATTGGCAAAAGACCAAAACCTTTCTACAATTTTCGAGATACAACATATCTGAGCACAACAACGTTCTGCATAAAGCTTGAAACATCAGTTTTGTCATCTGATATTATTGCAACAAACTTGGCCTCTCTTATCTCTTTCTGTATTTGTTCCTGTGCTATCTTGTACATTATATCAAGCAGCTCATTCTGGATAGTTTTTGATGTGCCCTTGAAAACCGTTGCAGTTTCTAAATGTTGGCTTAAAACCGAGTCAAGTGCAGCGGCAAAGTTCACATACATCCATGAAAAACACCTGGGTTGTCAGAATCGTCTGTCTCATTGTGGGCTCTTAATGCCAGCTCAAAAGCACCACAAAACTTTACACAGTCAATAATCTTTGAAAGAACGTGGCGATTTTTGTCAACTTCGAGGTTGTGTTCTTGAACTGAAGCACGATATGCGTGGCTCAACTGTTCAGCAATGTTGGAATGACCAAAAAATGCAAGGTTGAGACAGTTATCGACATGGCTATTACATTTAACATGGCGTTTCACCTTTTCAGACAAATGCTTCCAATCGTTCACCCCTGTGTCTGTCCAAGCTTTTTCACGTAGTGCCCCGCCAAAGAGTAAGCAAGGAAAACAGTAAACTTTCCCTGAATCGCTGCATCCAGTTAGCCAACTGTATTTCGAGTACCATGTTGTTGTAAAACGACGACTGGTTGCCGATCTTGTAGTGTTTAATATCGAAAGATCAGGCCTATCTGGACCCAAACGTTTTACCTCGAGTTTTTCTTCGAGCGATAATCGATAGAAAGGTCGAGTTTGCAAATTTTTCACTATATTCATGGTTCAATGTTGATCGTCATGGAGCGCAGAAGAAAACGGATATATAGATGTGGTTGTAGTTAGGGATGATGTCATTTTATGGGAAAAAATTTTTCTTGCCCCAAATTCCTCCAAATAAGCCAATCACAGGCCGCGTTTCGGATTACTCAAGGTCGAAAATTGGCTTGTGCGCATGTCGGCTAGGGGCAAAACAAATTTTGCCCATAAAATGACATCATCGCTCAAGGCACTAGCAGGCCAGAAGCGAGGCTAAGGACGAGACGGGATAGCAAGGAGCTTTTTCTAGCAGAGATACAAACTTATATAATTAACCACAGTAAGACTATCTTCAAAATTAAATATGAATATCATAGATTTCCTTTGAAACGTTTTGGGGGGGCATTGCCCCAGATGCCCATTAGCAAGAGCCGCCACTGTTGTGGTGGTATCTTGACAAGATCAGCTCAAATTTCTTTTAGGGCACCTTTGGCTACTCTTCTGTTCTGGCTAGGGTCATTATCGATTACAAAAATCAGTTTCTCTTTATTTTTCAAAACAGCACACTCTAACACGGGAAATATACGAAAAATTATCAAAATATGTAGGTGTTCCAAGGAGTTTTGGCCGAGATTGTAACGTGACAGTTTATTGCAGCAACTGAAATGGGACTCACTTGAATGACATGGATTACTATTCCAACTGAAATATGTTCATAAAATGTTTACAAATCAGGTTGCTTTGGACCCTAGCGTTTTCTTTTCCCCTGCAACTTGTTCGATGACAAGGAACTCTAACTCATTGAAGATCATGCCTAAATTCGGAAGGGTTGATGCTGTTAGGTTTTCATTTTTTTATTCAATCGTTTCTGTATGGAATAGCCTGCCAGACAGTATTGTGATGCAGGCAAATTCAGCTCTTCCCTGCTATCTATATTCACTGGGAAAAATACCAGAGCAAACTCTTCAAGTGCATTTGACACAAAAATATTAATTCACTTAAATCATCAAAGAAACATCACTGGTAACGATGGTAAACTTAGTTTTTTTCATTTGCAACTTACTTTCCCCAAAAAGGGGTTTTCCAACACCCACTCGAGCTAAAATGTGTCACAACAAAAACGTGGTTGAACCTGTGGTCACGTGACCCCTGTGAAGTAAAGTGGTTGTGTTTCCGTTGAATAGAACAAGGCTTCTGTATGGTTTCACCACGTGCGGTCACTGTTGTCCCCCTGAAAAACTTTTTTCCTCCATAATTGTAATAAGTTTTATTTAGATAACTCAAGCAATGCCATCAAAGGTCGGAAAGTAATTTAGAAATTTTTTTTGGTTCATTATAAAATTGATAAAATTTGAAATAAAGTGAGCCGGCTATGATCATAATTTCGCAACTCACAATGTTATCATATGGCCAACCCAAGTTGGTTTGCAAGAAAAGCTTATTCAAAAATAAACATGATTTTCAAGAACAAAATTAGAAAACATTCACTCTAAAACAGGTAAGTGCGATACGGTAAACCATTGTGCAAAGGGAACGAATACCCCTTTGAGGAAGATACGGATGTGCTTGACTGCCATCCTGAAAAATCTGCCCAAACAGAAGTTTGCTGCTTGGTATTACTTATTAAACATGCAGTTTAAAGATATCGAGCCATCATCTTATTCAAGAGCACCTTTTTCCGACTGATTTTTCCCGTATATTTCCCTCTCCTTCTGGTTTTGACACCTAAAACACTAAAACATTTTTTCAATGAGATGCTCTACCCTCAGTTTGCAAAACAAAACAAGACAAAGAACTAAGCAAGAATTAAAAAAAGCATAGTGAGTAATATGATTCTTATTTCATTTTGTATAACTGCCTAACAATGTTCTATTGTGTAACAGCTGAGATACGTTATTGGTAATGACGCGACAACACCAGGGGCACTCGCTTTATGGAAAAAGGGACTCCTTGTCTCTCTGTGTGGGCTCCATATCACCGTCTTTAATACATCAAAATAACCCAAATATTGAATTTTGCACTTTTTTTTAAACCATTTAAACAAATGTAAACTACTTCAATATTTTATACAAAAGCAAAAAAGGTTTTGGAAACTCAAAAAGCAGGGGGTTGGAAAGGGAAATGATATTCTATGGGATAAAGGTGCAAAATGCAAGTGAGAATCGATTAACAATAAACAGAAGTCATCAAGTAACAAAACATGATATAAAAACTTTCAATTAAATCACGGACTCAAACTTTTAAAAAATCTGTTTCTGTATAACAGAAATAGTGGTCTTTTACCTGGTCAGCCTTGGTCAAAGACCAAAAAATTAATCTTGGATCATGTTTGTTGGTAAATGTAAATATTGAAATTTGTGTTCCTCATTTTTCAGAGGCAATCAGCGTAAACAGAAGCTCTGCACAGAT